TATATCCCCCGCATATCTAGTATTTTTTTAGACCTTTTTGTTGTTTTTAGATGCCATAGAGTCAAGTACAGCTCATAGCAATCCTCAAACCCATTCCTGCAGTCACTGTTTCAGTGAGACCCAAGGACATTGTTTCTATGTTCTATCATTTATATATATATACATATATATACACACACACATGCATATATATATATATATATGCATATATTGGAAAAACAATGTACGAGCAGGAGCCTATAGTGATGAGGAAGGAAGTTCAAGCTGCTCTGAAAGAATTGGCAAAAACAAGGCTCTAAGAGTAGATGACATACCAGTTTATTTATTTCAACAGACACTGCCCTGGAAGTGCTCACTAAGTTATGCCAAGAAATATGGAGGACAGCCACTTGGCCAACTGACTAGAAGAAATTGATATTTGTTCCCATTTCAAAGGGTGATCTGACAGAGTGCAGAAATTATAGAACAATGTCATTATTATCACATGCAAGTAAGATTCTGCTGAAATGATCCAAAAACAACAGGAGCAACACATCAACTGAGAACTGCTAGAGTGCAGGCTGGGTTTAGAAGAAGCAGTGGTACTAGGGATATTATAGCTAATGTTAGATGAATCTTGGCAAAAAGCAGAGTACCAGAGGAATGTTTGTGTTTTATTGACTATGCAAAAAAAAAAAAAAAGATCAAAACAAACTGGTTGACTCTGAGAAGAATGGGAATCCCAGAACATTTAATTTTGCTTATGTGAAACCTATACTTGAACCAAGAGGCAGTCATCAGAACAGAGCAAGGAGACACTACATGGTTCAAAATCGTGAAGGGTGTCTGCCAGGGATGTATTCTGTCTTCATACCTTTTCAATCTGTATGCAGAACAGATCATCCAGGACTCTGGGCTGTACAAGAATGTGGCATCAGGATTGGTGGAAGAGTCATCAACAACCTGCGTTATGCAGATGACACAACCCCAATTGTTGAAACTGAGGAGGACCTGAAATTCTTGCTGCAGAAGGTCAAGGACAGCAGCATTCAATATGGATTGAAGCTCAACATCAAGAAAACAAAGATTCTCACCACTGGGCCAATTGGCAGCATCATTATGAATGGTGAAGAGATTGAGATAGTTAACAGTTTTAGTTTGCTTGGCTCCACAATCAACACTCTTGATACCAGCAGCCAGGATATCAAGACATGAATTCCATTGGGAAAGTCAGCTGTCAGGGACCTCTGCTGAGTACTGAAGAGCAATGACGTCAGGCTATATAGACTAAAGTGTGCCTGATCCTGGTCATAGTCTTTGCAATTGTGTGCTATGCATCAAACAGCTGGACAGTGACTGGGATGATAGAAAGATAATTGATGCTTTTGAGCTGTGGTGCTGGAGAAGAGTGTTGAATGTACCATGGACTGCTAGGAGAACAAACAGGTTCATCCTGGAGAGAGTTAAATCAGGCTGCTCCTTGGAGGCAAAGATTCTGAAGCTTCATCTGACACACTTTGGGCATGTTGCAAGGAGGGACCAGTCCTTGGAGAGGACATCATGTTTGGGAGGGTGGAGGGACAGCGCAAGAGAGGAAGACCATCAAAGAGATGGATCGATTCAGTGATTTGGGTAATGGCAGTACATCTGTTGGAGACAGTGAAGTTGGCACAGGATAGAGCAGGGTTTAGGGCTCTTGTACATAGATAGGGTCACTGGAGTCACAAGTGACTTGACGTCACATAACAACAAGAACAACAAGTGGCTTAGTGGTAAGAAATTGTGCTGTCAACTCAAAAGGACATGATTCGAATCCCCAAGCTACTTTGCAAGAGAAAAATGAGCAATTAACTCCAGGGCAATTGCTTCTTTCTAAAACAGTTGGAGGATCAACTGGGAGTTGGTCCTGAGTAGATGGTACATAACTACAAACAGTTACACTCTCTTCAGGTATTGTTATCAATAGAGGACTAAGAGAGACAAACAAAACAGCTCCAAAATGCAAATCAAAGGCTTTGAGCTGACTAGTGATTATTTGGTTTGACACATGTCACATCACAGTTGGTAGCTGTCCTGTTTATTTGAACTGAAATGCTGATTAGGTCCTTTGCTAATCCTGTCTTTGCAAATACATACAAAGCTAAATACACCCAGCCTCATTAAATCAAAAGAAACCTAACAGGCACTCACCACTATTATCAATAAACAAAAATGTATGTTTCCCCAACCACAGTGCTGAAATATGTGTTGTGTTTATAAGGCAAGCCAAAGGCAAAACAGAGGAAACTTCCTGGTTAACTTTGTACACTGTGGCCCCAGAGTCATACCTGGGTCTCAACATCTGTCAGCTTTCGGGTCTGCTCCGCAGTCTGAGACAGAAGACTGGTTCCTATCTCGAGCATGGTGGCCGTGTGGTTCTGAACTGCATTCTGCTGTATCTGGGCCATCTCCGACTTCATATTTTCCACAATGTAATTCTCTAGCTGTAAGACATGAAGAGCAATACACAGTGCATTATAAGCAAAGCCTCTCAGTTGGGCCATGTAATATTTACAATGACAAAACAAGACACAGCTGGCAAACTAGCCATCTGGCAGGGATCCCCTGCATCTTGGAGATTTGGGAAGATGGGAGCAGAGCACACAGGAATCCAGATGTGAACAAACTCCCAAATGCTGATATGATAGACAACAGTCACAATCCTAATGGAAACCTGCACTTGGACAGGGTATTTTCTCCTTTGCCATCGTCTCATTTAACTCTCCCAGCAGACATGAATTTCGCACCAAAAACTGCACTTCTCTACTTTTATTTCATTTCTAAGTGAAGCAATAGACTCAGAGAGAGTCATTGTGGGGCTCTACATTACTCATCAAGAACGCGGTAGATTTAGCACCAAAACATAAATCTAAGTCCTGGGGTTCTGGTCTTTGCATTATACCTTATTGGCCAAGAAGAAAATGTAGTTTCCATCTTGATTATATTAAAAAGCAAAGACTATACAGGCTGTTGAAAGACTTGGAGGAGGGCAGATGACTAGAACATCAACCTTTAAGAGACGATTAAAACATGAGTAATTATAATTAAATCTGCAGTGAGCTGCAGAACAGGAGAGCTAGCTGTAATCTTTTGTTGTGCTCTTTGGCTGGCTCAAGACTAGATGCTAAAAATAAAGTCTATAAAGTAGCATGTGTCCCTTTTGCCTGAGCTAACATTGGTATTTTATGGTGTCATCTTAGGGAATGCCATCATATTGAAAAAAGGAAAAAATTATCTCAGTGGGGCAGGAAAAATGATCACATGACTTACTTTAGAGACGTCTGTTACGAACCTGGAAGAATAAAGTCAAGTATACTCATTGCTTGAAAAATACAGGAGAAGCCTGCACTTCCCTGGCTGCACATTTCATTCTCCCCACCACTGCCTAGTGATGACATTTCATTACCCAATTACACATATGGGGAAACTGCATCCCAGAGAAGTCAAGTCCAAGGCCACACACCACTGAAACAGACTTGGATTTGAGCACTGAGGTCCTTAACTCTCATACCAACACTCTTAGCCACCTGAGAGCTCTGCCAAGTCGTGCTTCATGAGCCGGTTTCCAAATCATTAACAGCTACGTGATTTTCACTGACTTAGTGAACCGTAATACAATTGCTATTTTAGACTCTAAAGTCACATTATTGTTATGTAATAAATATAGTCTAAATCTAAATGCCCATATGTGAAATTTTGACAGTTCAATTTGAAACATGATCTCTCAGTTATTTCTATTTATTGAGGATTAACCTTTCCCAAGGTGCAGGGGGAAAAGGATTAGAATCAAACCCCCATTGTTGTTAACAAATTCTGACTTCATTCTTATCTGAAATAAGGTTATTATTTTTCACTATTTTACTTCCCAAATTAAAAAATCTAATAAAATTCACCTAATAAATTCCATTATAGAACAGTATAAAATAAATTAGAATGAATAGCTGCAAATTAGTTGAACAAAATGGAAGGCCTCTAGGCCAAACTTTGACTTTAATACAATTGCACCACTACTACTATTACTCATTGCTGTCAAGTCAGAACTGACTCAGAACTGACCGTTCAGTGGGTTTTCAGATGGTGTCAATAGCACAGGAGGAGACTGCCTGTCTTTCTCCCAACTGGTGGATTCGAGTCATCTGTGTTTGGATTGGCAGTACAACTCAAAGGATAGGGAAAGGAAGGTCAAGAAACTCACAAGTTTGTTCTCTCTAGGTTTGCTCCCTTTCCTATAGGTAACCTTAACTCTGAGTTTTACTCCATAATTGACCCTGAACCCAGTGCCAGTGACAAAAAGGAAATACAACTGACAGCTGAGGAAGCAGAGGAGGATGGAGCCTCTGGGTTCAACCAGCCATCCCCACTGGACCCACCTGGGAAAACACTTTGCAGTCCAGAGGGGAGCAAATGACGGGAAAATATCTTCTAACAGAGCAAGAAGGCAAGAAGCTGTAACCCAAGACCACCAGTAAGGTGATAAAGTGTCTCCCTTCCCCCCTTTACATCTACGCCCCTGCTCAGCATGAAGAAGCCAGAGAGTCGGCATCCAATTCCCAAATCAATAAGACAGTTGGTTTAATTACTATTGGAAAATGCTTGTCATTCCTCTGTAGCATCTGGTGCCCACTGGACCCTCATCATTTCCTTCACCTGCTTCCCCCACCGACCAAACTGTGCAGCTCTGCAACTGCATCCTGGCCCATCCTCACCCTTCTGCCCCCAACCCTCACCTCCTTGTACCCCCAATATGTTTTTCCCAATAAAAACAATATTTTAAAAAAAAGAAATGGACATCTATATTTTGGTGTCTGCATTACATGATTCCTGTACCGTCTGTATGACTTTTTGTAACTTTCTTTTGGAAAATTACCTTTACTTCACTCAGAATCTATGCTTTAATGGAGTTATCTTGAATGGTTCAACAGCGGGCACATCTTTGAACCCTAGATCAGAATGCTCTGCACTTACATACTGTAAAAAGGGCAAGGGCTGCCTGAGGACAGCCACTTCTGATCTTTACCAATTTCACAAAGGGAAACCATCCCTGTTAACAGCATCAACAACACAAAGCCAATTCCTAGGAAGTTAGAAACACTTCCGTACCTCTTTCTACTCATCCCAGCACCAGTCTTCTTTACTGGACCCAAAATCTGATTCAATAACTCACACATCATCCAGAAATATATTAGGAAACTCAAAAGACTATAATTCGAGTTAGTAGAAGAATACAGTCAGTAAATCAAGACAACTTCCAAAAAGTTCTGTCAGGTAACTTAACCTTGAGTCTCACAGCTTTAGGCAAGTATAACAAAGTTCATAGTCATGCCAGTTATGGCTCTCTACACCTTCAACAAACTTGAGCAAAAGACTCTTAGCTGCAGTTTAATAGTGTAGCAGTCTCAACATTCACTCTACCTCATGTCAAATGTCTGGGTTCTCCTCCATAGCTGTTAGACTGATGCTCTCATAGACCCTTATTCTGGCTTGCTAAAAGCCTTTGGTCCTAAAGGATGCATTACATTCTGTGGCTTCTTCTTTGCTACTGATGAGGTTTCTCCTCTTCTGCTGCTAGATCTGCTCAATTTAATGGCAATACTAGCCAATCCCCTTGTGTACTGGTGAGACTAGCCAAACCTCTTGTGTGTAGTAGAGAGGTTAGTCAATTCCCTTGTGGATGGGCAAACACACCCTATTTGTGTATTTCTGCCCATCCACATAACAAAGTTAAAGCCAATGTCTAGGAAAGCCATTTTGAATACTGAGCCCTCCAACAGTGACTTGTTCAAAAACATAAACATATTCTAAGCAAGACCACTAAGCCTTACTTCTGGAATTTTGGCTTAATTATTCTACAGAAGAAGAGACTTGAAAGCTGGCAACACCTGATGCTGTTGCAGTCCTATTTTACCACCACAAAATTATACCTGATCTGAGACTAATGCCAACACAGAATATGAATGGATGGTAGATAGATTGATACATACACAAACAGACTTACCTGGAGGATACAGGTAGAAGTATACCTGATTATTTTGAGGTGGATTAAGCTATATAAATAAAAAAGACAAAGATTTTCACCACTGGACCAATTGGCAGCACCATAATAGATGGAGAAGAGATAGGAGTTGTTAACAACTACAGCTTGCTCAGCTCCACAATAGACTCTACTTAACATGAGCAGTCAGGAAATCAAAAGATGAATTGCCTTTGGGAAAATCTGCTATCAGGGACCTCTCCAGAATGTTGAAAAACAATGTCAGTCTAGAGACAAAGGTGCACCTAATCCATGCCGTCATCTTTGCAATTACTTATTATGCTTCAGAGAACTATGATGAAGGATGACAGAATAAGTATTGATGCCTTCAAATTGTGGTGTTTGAGAAGAGTTTTGAACATGGACTGCCAAGAAAACAAATACGTCTGTCTTACAGAGGATGAAACCAATTTTCTAGTTCGAAGCTAGGATTTTGAAGCTCTGTCTCACAAACTCTGGGCAGGTAGGTGGTCAGGAGAGAACAGTCCTTGGAAAAGGACAACATTCTCAGAAGGGTGGAGGGACAGTGTAGGACAGGAAGACCCTCGATGAGATGGATTGATACAGTAACTGGGGCAATGGGAGCTGGCATGTCAGAATTATTGAGACTGGCTCAGGACAGGGCAAGGTTCAGGGTTGCCATACATAGGGTCACTATGGGTCATAGGCGACTTGACAACACATAACAACAACATCCTTTGACTTTTAATTAGAAATTGTATATTTTAATCTTTTCCCATTGAGACTAGTCAGCCATTTTATTTTGTCCTTAATCCACTCTGATTTATGTTTCTAACACAATCTAAAAACTCTTGATGGATATATTCAACCCAATTACAAAATGGTCACAAGATATAAATACACACTTCACCAAAAAAAGACATTCAGATGTCAAACAAACACATGAAGAAATGTTCAAAATCCCTAGTTATTAGAAAGATGCAAATAAAAACAACTATAAGATATCATCTCACCCCAGCAACAATAGCAAAGTTCAACAGAGCTACAAACAACAAATGCTGGTGAGGCTGTGGAGAGATTGGAACCCTTATTCACTGCTGGTAGGAGTGTAAAATGATGTAACCACTATGGAAGGTAGTCTGGTGCTTTCTCAAATCATTGGAAATATAAATATCATTTGATATTTTTTATAGCAATTCCACTACTAGGAATATACCCAAAAGAAACCCGAGCCACCACCCAAACAGATATATGCACACCCATGTTTATTGCTGCATTCTTCACAATAGCAAAGAGATGGAAGCAACCCAAGTGTCCATCAACAAACAAATTAATAGAAAAACTATGGTATATTCACACAATGGAATATTATGCAATAGTGAAAAACAAGCAACTCACAAAACATTATACAATGTAAAACTCATATAACATTCTCAATGTATGAACTTGTAA